GTCGAGCAGGGCGCGTGCGCGGCAGCCTCGGGCTTCGATTGGCTCCCGTGGACCGGGGAGGTGGGGCCGTGAGTTCCGCGCTTCTTCCTGCTGTGGTTTCCGCGTAGCAGCTGAAGAAGCCGAACCTAGGGCGGGAGCCTGGGTGGTGGCGGGGCCGGAGTTGGAGTTAGGGCCAGAGTCAAAACCCGGGCCTGAGCTGAGGCGGCGGGTGCTGCGTCTCTGCGAGGTGAGAGCCCGTGTCACCGTCTCTGCCCCTGATTGGGGTGCGCCGTGCCCTCCCTGGGCATCCTGCGCGCGTAACTTCAGCCCCCCCGCTTCTTACTGTCATAGCCGCGATCTCTGACCAGCCCGACCCTGACCCCGAGTTGGCCTAGGACCCTGAGTCTGCACCCTCAGTCCTTCTAGCCTGCCTTGTCTTACCTCTCGGATCCCTCTTGGGAACCCCCCTGTGTATTTCACTGAGAGCTTGAGCAGCCTCCGTAGCCCCGGACCACCAGTAACGACTGCACCTCTTTTCCTCTGCAGATGGACGAGACGGAAGGCAGTGCTGGGCATCCGGGCCCCGCAGAGCGGTCCCACCGAAGCAGCGTGTCCTCCGTGGGAACTCGAGGTGGGTCCCTGTTCCCATCCTCCTGCCCCTCCCAGGACCCAGCCCTGGAGAAGGGGCCCTGGCTTGCCAGGGCTTTCATTAAAGATAATCCTTCATATTAACAAGTGACAAACGTTGAGTCTCTTCAGCTCAAATAGCTGAGAAATACAAATGAAATCAATCACACAGATGGAAAGTAACACTTCTGTTTTCTTTGGTTCATGCATTTCTCACAAGCAGCGTTTTGACTGCATGACTCCATTTTCTTGTTTCATAGGAAGGAAGTAGGGCCCTGGAGGAGTTAAGCAAGGCCTGTTTTCCCTGTGGGAAAGTGGGTCTGAATTTCAGCCACTTCCAGATGATTTTAATGATCTTTGAAGAAAGTAACTGTCAGAACAGGATAAACTCGGGATTCAGAGAGCACATCGCTTGCATTAGTGATCGATTGTGCCCTCTTGTCTTGGCTGCCCGTCACTTGATTCAGAGCCACATTTGAAGCTGCTGACACAATGACTTAACAGAAGTTAGCTGGCTCCACCTTTTACTTAGCCCGATGCTACAGCTACTGTAACTGCAAGATAGGCTCAGCTAACTCACCTGCAGAATGTTCTTCAGAGCAGATGCACCGTTGTGGGGAGCAGTGATCTCCCCAGTCTGAGCCCTGAGAGTTTGGGGTTGGGGTTGTTTGGTCCCTGGCCCTAACTGACTTGGTTTCTGGGTGGTTGACTAAGTCCTAACAGATGTCATTGTAACAGGCCTTTCAGGGAACCTGGGGCTCACACTACCCTGGAGCAGATCTTAGCTCAGACGTGGAGCCTTGGTCACCAAGGGGCATAGGCTGGGGACCTCAGCCCCAGTGGGTGGTGGCGGGTTCCTGGGCTGGGCTGGCTGCTTTTGGATGGTGACCCCAGCTGACCCAGCTTCCATCACAGCTGCGGACGTGCTTGTGTACCTGGCGGATGATACGGTGCTGCCACTGGCTGTGGAGAACCTGCCCTCGCTCAGTGCCCACGAGCTACACCGAGTAGTTCGAGAGGTCCTGCAGCTCCCGGACATTGCCCTGGATGTCTTTGCACTTTGGCTTGTCTCCCCTCTGCTGGGTAAGGCATAGCAATGAGAAGCCTAGCCAGGAGGCTGTGAAAGGCACTGACCAGTTTGGGAAGAAAGGGGAGTCTCTGGAACGTCTGGTCACTGGATAGCCAGGCTAACCAGAGAGCACTCCGTTTGCTGGTGGCAGAGGAGAGACCGAGCCTCTCCTCAGCCTTGGCTGGGAGCCCTGGGGCATCAAGGCACAGGATTGTGGGGTGGGGGTATGCAGGAAGTATCCATGTTTACTGAGATGGACTCCGTGCCTCCACTTTGCCATGTCCTGTGGGCACAATTTCACCTTAGCCTTATGGCACAGCCCTGTTTGCAGGTGAAGACATGAAGGTTTGCAGCAAGCGATAGGGCCTTGAGCTTGGGTGGCCACTGCAGAAAAGCAGGCTGGGCCTACGGACTAGCCCCTGAGGCTTTCCCCGGCCTGAGGAGAACAGGAAGTGGTGAGGGCTTGGTTTCTGACCTGGGGTCACCCACATGGACTGGGAGAGCCCATGGAAGCAGTTCAGGCTGAGAGACCAAGGGGAGGTGGAGGGGCTGTGGGGGCGCTGACCCTCCAGACCCTCAGGCCAGTGATCCCTGGTTGACTAGAGCTTCTGAGGCAGCTGTTCAGTCAGGAAGTGGGATTGCACTAAGTATTAGCTGAGCTTCAAGTGTTCTTATGGGCAAGAAGGGACAAGAAAGGGAGACAGGTCCCGTTGACACAGCTTGAGGACATCCAGGGGTAAACCCAGAAGCCCTTAGTGATGGCCTCCTTTTCGAGGGAGGATCTGGGAGGGGGAGGAAGGACCTCCTGCCCTCACCTGCCCCCCCAGAGCTTCCTGTTCAGCTGCTACTTTGTAATTCTTGCCCCCCACCCTTTTCCTGCTGACCCTTCTCCTCCCCCTCAGGCCTGGGGCTCTGTCTCTGGAGAGCTGGGGGTAGCATTCCCATGTGCCTTGTGTCTGTTCCTCCTCCTACTTCCTCTGCCCACATTCCCTCTTCACATTCCTGCCCCCCCTCACACAAGAGCTTCTGAATGGGCTGTCTGTGTGGCCCAGGTCACCCTGGGGCACCAAGGCATCCAGAGACCTCAGCACAAAGCCAACACCCACTTTGTTCCCAGGCTGTGTTTAACTTGGGTGCCTCGGAACCCAAGTCCATCCCCAGGATGACACAGTGACCGATGCCCCTGGACTCAGAGCCTCTTAGGCCGGGGAGGGGGCAGCATCCTCGGAGTCGCCCTTCCCGCTTGGTATTTTGGGAAGGTGTGGATTTCCTAGTGCTCTGTCTCAGCACGTAATAGGGCTTCAGGGACTGGTGGTCTTAGTTGCGGGGGACAGCCTGTGGGCAGCAAGTCCACCTGGGAGTTCGTGGGGCTAGGACCAGCAGTCCTGCTCTGATGTTGGAATTCCTTTGTGCTGCTGAGCTTAAGGGTTCCAGAAAGGGGGGGGGGGGGGTCATTGACCCAGTACTCCCCGTATCACCCGTGTGTGGCCACTGGGTTCCAGCCAATGTGTTACCTCACTCATTCCTCCAGCAGACACAGAGTCCTTGGCGCTGACTGAATGTGGATGCTGGGAGCTCTTAGTGTTCCTGGCCGGACTTTAGGGCGTCCATGAGATAGGATTCTGTCCTCGCTGTAGCCACTAATTGTCTGACCTTGGACAGTCACATGAAGTCCCTCCATAAAGTGAAACATCCATAAGGACCCCACCCCCATCTCTGAGGACCCTCACAAAGGTGTAGGCAGGGAGACCCACGTGGAGCTGTGGCTACTCTTAGTTTAAGTTCAGGGTCTAGACAGGATGGTTTGGCCCAAAGATCGGGACTCTTGAGTCTGGTTGGCTCAGACACACTGAGTTGTTGGGGGAAGGAGCATAAAGGAGCCTAGAAAACCCTATGGAACAGTCTCTGCACACAGGCGCGGGGGGGGCGGGGGTCACTATGAGTCAGAATCAACTCATCAGCACCATTTGAACTGTTAGGTGCCTATTGGGGGTGAGAGGGCTGCTCTGAGGCTGTGTGGGCCACTGTCCCTCTCATCCTGCAGAGGTGCAGTTGAAGCCCAAGCACCAGCCCTACAAGCTGGGCCGCCAGTGGCCGGAGCTGCTGCTGCGCTTCACTGATGCGCCAGATGAAGACGTGGCCGTGGGTCAGTGCCATCTCCATCTGGGCCCATGCGGGGGGTGGAGTACTGATGGGGAGCCCAGGAGAAGGTTGGGCCTGGGGAGTGGGCCTGTTGGGCAGAAGCGGAGTGCTGGGTGATGACGCAGCCTCTCTTTCCAGATGAGCCTTCCCTACAATTCCGAAGGAATGTATTTTTTCCAAAGCGGCGGGAGCTACAGGTGAGGTGGGAGCAGAACCCAGGTTTGGTGCCTGTGCTCTCTCAGTCTTCCTTGCCTGGCCTGGCTGAGCAGTGCCCACCTGGTCCGTAGATCCACAACGAGGAGATTCTGCGGCTGCTCTACGAGGAGGCCAAGGGCAACGTGCTTACTGCGAGGTACCCGTGTGATGCAGAGGACTGTGAGGCCCTGGGGGCCCTGGTGTGCCGTGTGCAGCTCGGGCCCTACCAGCCTGGCCAGCCTGCCCCTTGCAGTTTAAGGTGAGAGCAGGATGGCGTGACGGTCATGGGAAGTGCACGGACCCAAGAGGAGTATTGGGGTGGAACCCAGGCTCTGGTCTGGGATTGTTCTTTGGGGCCACAGCCAGGTGACAGGTGGACTTAGTTAGTGCCAGGCTCTGGGTGGGATAGGAGTCCTTCAGCCTGACGTTTCTGAAAAGCATGCCTCTTGCTGTGACGTTCTGTGTCTCCCCTCCTATAGATGTCCTGGGTGGGCAAATGGCTGGGAGGTGGGCAGGGCCAGGCCTTTTGTGTGTTCGTTGTATAGAGGGTGTCACTGACTTTGTCAGGACTGGTGAGCGGAAGGTAGGACTAGGGTTTCAGAGCTGGTGGGGCAGGGGAGGGGTACTGCAGACCCCAGGCAGGGTAACTGAAGCACAGGGAAGGAGCGCTTTCACCAAGTCCCTAGGCTGGTGGAAAAGCCTGAGCAGGTGGGAGCAGGGCCAGCTGGGCCTGCATTTCTGGGTCTGCGCTTGAAGAATGTGTCATCTTGAGGCTCAGGGTAACTGTCACCTGGGCAGGTAGTGGGGACTGTTACCCCACCCCTTTTTATAACAGATTGCAGGGTGGGCTCCGCGCAGGTGGGCGGTTAGACTCCAGATCCTGCCCATAGGCGAAGAATTGGGATCTGAATCACATCTGTTGTCTGTCTGTTTGTCTGGGGCCATGCCTCCCCTCCCGAGTCCCTTACTTGCTATCTGGCTTGAATGTTACTGTGAGTCCCCTTCCCCTGTTCTTCCTTCATCTTCTCTTTGTGAAAAGAGCTTCCCCACTGCCCACTCCCATTCCTCCCAGAGTCGGGGGGGACCTCAGGATCACCTGCTTGCCAGGCCTCCTCATGCTAAAGCATCCTGCCTCTTTCCTCCTCAGGGAGAAGCTGGACTGCTTCCTCCCTGCCCACCTCTGTAAGCGGGGCCATGGCCTCTTTGCTGCCCTCCGAGGTCGTGGTGCCAAGGCTGGGACTGGTGAGCAGGGCTTGCTGAACGCCTACCGCAAGGTGAAAGAAGTGGTTGTCAGTGGCGGCAGCAGCAGCGAGTGTGAGGCTCCCCTGAGCACCCACTACCGCGCCTACCTCCTCAAGTGCCATGAGCTGCCTTTCTATGGGTGAGTAGACCGGGCCACCCTCCATCATCTGCCCTGGACACTCAGTCTCCTGTCCTGTCCCAGGCTGGGATAGCAGTGACAGCTCTTCCTCTTCCTCCTACCATAGTCACTGGGTCATTGGATCTGGGGGTCTTCTCTCTGGCCAGCTTTTACCCATGTGCTTGGGCACCTATTGTGTGCCTGACCTGTCTAGGCACTGAGACCACTGCCCTTGTGCAGCACACAGTCAGCACTGGCGGGGATAACTAAGCTACACAGTCTCTTGGAAGCTTCTAGATGCATGTGAATGGAAGTGTAGGATTTGACTATGGTTCTCTCTGGGCCAGCACTAAAGAAGTCAGGGAGTGATGTCTGCAGTGATTGACAAGTTCACGGGAAACAGGAGTGGAGTCAGGGTGGGTGGTTCGTGTCCCAGGGTACACTACTCCACGTCTCAGCGTCCAGCCTTGGAGCTACCCTGTGTTTCCCAAGCCAACTGGGGCGTGGATCTGCCCAGCTTCAGAGAGGGACTGATACTGAATTCAGGCTCTGGTCCCCAAAACAGCCTGGCCCAGAGCAGACCTCCCTGACCTCTGGGTAGAGCTGAGTCAGGACCCTCTGGGCCATTTGTCCTTGGTGCTGGCAGCAGGCAGGCTGACACCACATCCCTTCCCAAGGTGTGCCTTCTTCCACGGCGAAGTTGACAAGCCAGCCCAGGGATTTTTGCACCGGGGCGGGCGCAAGCCGGTGACTGTGGCCATCTGTCTGGAGGGCGTGCACGTTATCGACTGCCGGGAAAAGGTACTGGCACTGGGGGTAGGGGAGCTGTCCGGGAGGGACCAGCGGGCATCCCGAGGCTTTCCTGGCTCTGCTCTGGGATTGGCTTTTCTGCCTGGTGTGCTTGGGTGGGACGGGGCTGCTGCTGGGGTTATCATTCTGAGTGCTAGGAGGTTCCCAGAGCCTGGCTACTCAGCCTATATACCCTCTGCCTCATGGAGAAAGGCCCCACAACTGGGACCCCTTTCAGACCAACCCAGTGCTTGGCCAGCCAGGTCCAGCTTCTCCTCTGACCCAGCTGCCTCAGCTCCCAGGTGCTTGTAGCAGCTTCTTGACCCCGGGCAAGAGCCAGGAGATTTGGCCGACTTCTTGTGTCGGCCTTCTGTGCCCACTCTGGAGAAGGCCCCTCCTTCCTGGGACTTTTCCCAGCTGTAAGGGGGTGCTCCATCTGGGCTGTGCGATGAGGTACCGTGGCCTCCTTGGATCACATCTCTCTTTGAGGGTCTAAGGAAAGCTGGGCTCTTCACCTTAGAGAAAGGCCTGAATGAATCGAGACTCTATCCGGGAAGCACACCTGGACAAATGTTCCCTCCTGTTGGCGCCCAGTGCGGTGGGACTAGATCTCTGCTTACCAGAGTCCAAGCCTCCTTCTGCTCCCCTCCCACCCCCCTAGCACGTGTTGCTGGGCCTGCGCTTCCAGGAGCTGTCGTGGGACCACACTTCCCCGGAGGAGGAGGAGTGCGTACTGTGGCTGGAGTTTGACGGGGAGAGCGAGGGCACACCCGTCAACAAGCTGCTCAAGATCTACTCCAAGCAGGTTGTGGGCAGGGGGCTCCTGGCGAGCTGGCCTTCAGCAACTGGGAGGGGTGAGGGTCTGGGGATGATGGAGCCTGACCACCTACTAATCTGGAGCTGCCTGGGCTTCAGCTGCTGGCCAAGTGGGTCCACGGAGGGCTGGCCCAGCACTGTCCCCTCTGGCCTCACCAGCATGCTGCTGCCTGGACCCTGCCCTCCAGACCAGCAGCTGGCAGAGAAGCTCACGGCCTCCCTTCCTCCATTTCCCGTATCCATCCGTTCGTCTCAGCTCACCCTACACCCCTCCCATCAGAGGCCCCTTGCCCCTGCTCAGGACTGTTCCTGCTTTCTCCTCTTTCCCCATCGGCCTCTCCCAGAGCATGGTGCTGTTCATGGCTGGCTCACTGCCATCAGCAGGCGGTATGGGAGGGCTGGGTCTGCCTACCCAGCAGGTCTCACATCAGCCCCTCTCTCCTCTCCAGGCTGAACTGATGAGCAGCCTCATCGAGTACTGCATCGAACTGAACCAGGCTGTGGAACCCACTGCCCCCCAGGAGTGTGATTCTGGCCCCAACTTAGACTCTGGCTCCTCGCCACCTCCCACACAGCGTCCCAAGCTACGGCGGCAGGGCAGCGTGGTCTGTAGTCGCATCCAGCATCTCTCCACCATTGACTATGTGGATGATGGTGAGCAATCCTTCCTCCGTGTCTGTGTTTTGAGTGTATGTGAGAGAGTGTGTGTATGCGTGTGCACGTTCCAACACTTGAACTGTGGGATGCTCTGGAGGGGAGCCTGTGAACAGAGCCATTGCAGACATGATGTATCAGCCTACACCCTACAGGAGTTGCAATTGGAGGCCCCGGGTCCTGGTTGTACCAGCCCTTCCTGACCCTTCTCATTGCTGTCTCCCCACATGTGCTCATGGCAGCATTGTCCAGTTGGTGGAAAACTAGAAACGACCAGGCTTCTGTTAACACAGGAGTGGTCAGACAAAGGATGAAACCATATCCTGTGGAGTTCAATGCAACCAATCAAAGTATAAAGCCCAAAGTGTAGTGTGGTATGGACCATGCCGATGTAAACAGTTAGAACACTCTGCTGCTGATGGAAAGGTTGAAGGTTTGAGTCTACCCAGAGTCACCTCGAAAGAAAGGGCTGGCAATTTACTTCCAAAAAATCACCCATAGAAAACTCTGTTGTTCTTGTTAGATGTCATCCAGTTGGTACAGACTCATAGTGACCCTCTGCACAACAAAACGAAACACTGCCCAGTCCTGAGCCAACCTCATAATATTTCTACACCTGAGCCCATTGCTGCCACCACTGTGCCAATCCATCTTGTTGCGGGTATTCCTCTTTCTCCTACCCTCCACTTGTGTGGCAGTTTTTTTCTTTCAGGTTTTTATATATGTCTCCATTGCCTTCTTGCCTGCATGGTTTCTGTTGAGAGATCTGAGCTTAATCTGATTTGCTTGCCTTTGTATGTTACACTTCTCTTTTCCCTAGCTGCTTTCAGGACTCTGTCCTTATCTTTGATTTTGGAGAGCTTGATTATTATATGTCTTGGTGATTTTCTTTTAGTGTCTGTCCTTCCTGGGTTTGTTGAGCTTCTTGAATACTTATGTTTTTGCTTTTCAGGATGTTAGGGAAATTTTCTTCCAGAAGCTCTTCAACTATTTCCTCTGTGGACTTCTGTGATTCTTCCTGTTCTGGAATGCCAATAACTCTTAAGTTATTCCTCTTCACGTTGTTAACATAAATTTTAGACCTTCTTCATATATTTCTATCCTTTTTTCTGCTTGTTATTCTATCTTAGTAGTATTGAGAGATTTATTTTCCAGCTCACTAGTTCTGGCTTCCATCTCTTCAATTCTACTTTTTGCCCTTTCAGTGTATTGTGCATTTCTGATATTCTATTACTAATCATTTGAACCTCTTTCTGTAGATTTTAAATTGTTTCCAATGCTGCATCTGTCTTATTTTGATTGTTCCTGTAACACTTTCCTGACTTTTTCATTTTTATTCTCAACTCCATTGGCAAGTGTTTTGAAACATTTTATAATCATTTTTCTGAATTCCTTCTCAGGCATTTCCAAAGCCTGCCCTCCTTCCAGGATGGAGTGTAGGTCTACCTCCAACTTACTTGTCTCAGTCACTTTATCTTGTTTCTGGACATGTGCTGATATAGTCATCTGTTTCTGTTGTGGGGCATATTCAGTGGTTAGCTGTGGCCTTAAAACTTAGAAGGGTGTGTGTTTTTGTATTTTTTATGCTTTCTGGTTGCCTCCAGGTAGATGTGATCAGGAGACGGGCTTCCCTTTTCACTCTTCTTCCTTTATCTCTGCAGTTCGGTCAGGCTGCTCTGATCCTCCCCCTGTTTGGTTTCACCCAAGATGGCTGCTCTGGGAGCAGCTGAGCACCTTGGATTAGAAAGTACTGGATTTCTTGCTTCTGCTACAAAGTCCACTGGCTGTAAGCCTTCCAGCTTTCTAAATATTCGTTTAAATGTAGTTCAGAGTTCTGGGACCATCCCCTGAGCCTGCTTGGTCCGGTGTTCTGTGTTGTTGCTGACGGAGCTCCTCACTGCACCTTCTACTCTCTCTACCATCTTGTTTGTTCTCCCCTGGCTGTACTTCTTCCAACACAGATGTGTTTGTTCTTCTGGTTGTCCATGGTATTTTTAATATTCTCCTCCAATATCATAACTCAAATGCATCAGTTCTTCTGTGGTCTTCTTTATTCACTATCCAACTTTCGCATGCATGTGTTGCCGTTGTTAGGTGCCATCAAGTTGGTAATGACTCATAGCGAACCGATGCACAACAGAATGAAATGGTGCTGCGTCCTGAGACAACCTCACAATCACTGCTGTTTGTGAGCCCATTGCTGCTGCCACTGTGCCAGTCCATCTCATTGGAGTTCTTTTTCTCCAACCCTCCACTTTACCAAATATGATATCATTCTCCAGTGATAATATGTCTGAAGCATGAAAGACCATGTCTGGCCATCCTGGCTTCCAAAAGGAGCAGTCTGTCTTTACTTCTTCCAATACAGATTGGTTTGTTCTTTTGGTAGTCCACGGTACTTTTAAGATTCTCCTCTAACACCGTAACTCAAATGCATCAAATCTTCTACAGTGTTCCTTATTCACTGTCCAACTTTCACATGCATATGGGTCAGGTGCACCTTAGTCCTCAAACTGACATCTTTGCTCTTGAGCAATTTTTAAAAGTCTAGTGCAGATTTGGCTAATGCAATATGTCCTTTGATTTCTTGACTGCTGCTTCCATGAGTACTGATGATCTGAGAAAAATGAAGTCTTTGACAACTTCAGTCTTTTTTCCATTTATATAGATGTTGTCTATTGGCCCAGTGGTGTGGATTTTTGTTTTCTTTACATTGAGAATGCAACCAATACCAAAGGCTGTGGTCTTTGGTCTTCATCAGTAAGTGTTTTAAGTCCTCTTTGCTATCAGCAAGCAAGGTATCATCTTTATATTGCAGGTTGTTAATGAGTCTTCCTCCAATCCTGATGCCACATTCTTCATATAATCCAGTTTCTCAAATTATTTGCTCAGCATACAACAAAGTGTGGTGAAAGAATACAATCCTGGTGCACGCCTTTCCTAATTTTAAACCATTCGTTGTTCTGTTGGAACAACTGCCTCTTGGTCTATGTACAGGATCCTCATGAGCACAATTAAGTATTCTAAATACTTATTCTCTGCAATGTTGCCCATAACTTATGATCCACATAATCTAAAGCCTTTGCGGGTAAGCATTTTTCTGTATTTTCTGCTTTCAGGCAAGATCCATCTTACTTCAGCAATGATATCGCCTGGTCCACGCCCTCTTCTAAACTGGCTTGAACCTCGAAGTTCTCTGTCAATGTGTAGTTAGCCGTTTTTGTGTTCTCTTTAGCAAATTTTTACTTGCATGCAATATTACTGATATTGTCTGATGATTTTCTCATTCTGTTGGGTCATCTCTCTATAGAATGGGCACAAATGTGGATCTCTTCCAGTCAGTTGACCAGGTAGCTCTCTTTCAATTTTCCTGGCATAGATAAGTGAGTGCCTCCAGTGCTGTATCATTTTGTTGGAAGATTTCCATTTGTATTCCATCAATTCCTGGTGATTTGTTCTTTGCCAGTGCCTTCCATCTATTCCTTCAGTATCATTAGCTCTTGATCATATGCTATATCTTGAAATAGTTGACCATCGATTATTTCTTTTTAATAGTGACTGTGTATTCCTTCCATCTTCTTTTGATGCTTTCTCCATCATTCAATATTTTGCTCATGGAATCCTTTAATATTTCAGGTCAAGACTTGAATTTTTTCTTCAGTGCCCTCAGTGTGAGAAATGCTGAGCATGTACTTACTTCCCTTTTGATTTTCTAATTCCAGGTGTTTCCACATTTCATTATAATATTTGACTTTGTTTTTTCGAGCTGACCTTTGAAATTTCCTGTTTAGCTCTTTTACCTCCTAATTTCTTCCATTTTCTTCAGCATCTCTATGCCAAAGACCAAGTTTCAGAGTCTCTTCTGACATCCATTTTGGTCTTTTCCTTCTTTCTTACCTTCTTAATGACCTTTTGCTTTCTTCTTGTATGATGTTCTTGGTATCATCTCAAAACTCTTCTGGTCATTAGTGTCTAGTGTATCAAATATGTTCTGAGATGATCTCTAAATTCAGGTGGGATATATTCAAGGTCATATTTTGGTTTTCGTAGACTAGTTTTAATTTTCTTCAGCTTCAGCCTGAACGTGCATATAAGCATTTGATGGTCTGTTCCACAATCTGCCCTTGGCCTTATTTTGACTGATGATAGGGAGCTTTACCATCATCTCTTTTCACAGATGTAGTTAATTTGATTTCTGAATATTGCATCTGATGATTTCTGTGTATTGCTTCTTGTTTAAAAAAGGTATTTGCAAAGAAAAAGTCATTGGTCTTGCAAAATTCTATCATGCAATCTCCAGCATCGTTTCTATCACCAAGGCCATATTTTCCAACAACTGATCCTTCTTTTGTTTCCAACCTTGCATTCCAGTCACCAGTAATTGTCAGTACATTTTGATTGCATGTCTGATCAATTTCAGAATGAAGAAGTTGATAGAATTCTTCAATTTTATCCTCACTGGCTTTAGTAGTTGGTGCATAAATTTGAATAGTAGTGGTATTAACTGGACATCCATGTAAGCATATGGATATTATCCTGTCACAGACAGCATTGTACTTCAACACAGATCTAGAAATGTTCTTTTTTGTTTTTTAATCCACACCCCTCCTTTTTTTTTTTTTTTAAATGTACATAAAACACACAGAAAATATATATTCATTTCAGTGACGAAAGGGCACAGTTTGCAAGCCAGCCTCCTGCCCACAGGCACACAGCCTTTCTCATTCCATGGGTCTAGAGTTTCAGCTGGAAATCTGTTTGATGATAAATGCAATGCTCCCTTCCTTTTCCATTTGTCATTCCTGGCCTAGTAAACCAGGTGATTGTCAGATTCAGAATGGCTAATACCAATCCATTTCAACTCACTAATGCCTGGGATATCTATGTTTATGCGTTCCATTTCATTTTTGACAATTTCCAATTTCTCTAGATTCATACTTCATACATTCGAGTTCCGATTATTAATAGATGTTTATAGCTGTTTCTCTTCATTTTGAGTT